GCAAACTCCGGTTATTTTAGCTCCGGCACCGGCTCTGGCAGTCAAAACTCCGGGTCCGGCAAGAAATTTTTAAGGAAATTCAATATTTAAAAGTGGAAGCAGGCAAAATATTGGTTATCGTTCCTTGTTTCGCGCACCAATTATGGTTAGGGGTTAGGTATTAGGGTTAGGGGTTAGGTTAGGGTTAGGTTTAAGGTTAGGGATAGGGTTAGGGTGTGTATATACGTGTATGGAGGTATCCAGTTAACTTTTCAGTACACTATAATATCCATTACATAACGTTTACTATATTGGTGCGCGAAACATGGAACGATTACCAAAATATTTCAGTGTAATTTCAGAATTTATCTTTTTTTTTAAAAAACCTTTTTACAACACTATTAATAGTAAACCACATAGCAATATATAGTAAAACAACATATAAATAGTAATATATTAATAAACAACAACTTAATTTTCCCATTTAATGCTAAATGTTTGTTGAAATATGAAATAATTTTTCATAATTTTGTCTGCCGGAGTTTTTGCCGGCTCCGACAAAATATGCCAGAGCTCCGGCACTCCGACTCTGGTGCACAGCTCTAAAGAAAAGTGCCCGTAAATATCCCTGAATTGAACACCCTAATTTGCCCAATTTCTTTAATGCCGGAATATTTCGTATATTATTAATTTAAATACATTTTTTGACATCTATATTTTTTAGACAAGATTGTTTGAAGAATTTCCAGATGAAGGTGGTGTTAAAGATCCTTCATTGAGGTCCCTCCCATTTTTGCCAGGTAAACGTTTGAAAAGAAATCACAGGATGTGTCAGCACATGACATAAAAAAAATACAGAATATCATATACATATATTAACTTAACAATCATGCAACCTTTAGTAAATTGCTGATTATCATGCTCCGAACAAAACAAAGATTCCATATTTTATTTTACAGTATGTTTTAATAAATGGTAATTCATGTAAGGCAATAAAGTTCTCTAACTTTTATTTTTTGACAGGAAAAATTATTTTTGGCAGAAGCAACATACGTGATGTTGCAGAGAAAAGAAAGGAACCTATTAATGAATACTGTCAGGTAGGCTTTGGATTTTTTACTTAAAAGTTTAAGGATTCTTGAGTTAATAAAACATGTTCATTTGTTAACCCATTGAGCTACAATGTGCCCCTGTGCGCCCTACTTAGTTTTTTATGTGTCTATAACGCCAGACAATTTTACTCGTCGATGGGGAAGCTACGCAGCTTAATGGTTAACCAAAAAATCTGACAATCAGTCTCTAAGTTAACCCATTGGGCCGCAATGTGCCCAGTGTGCCCTACTTATTTTTTTTTACTTGTCTAATGCCAGACAATTTTACTCGTCAATGGGGAAGCTCTGCAGCTTAATGGGTTAATTACACATATTGTTGAGCCTTAAGTTGACTCACTATAATTGTGGGTGAGGCAGTCAATCGATAAACTGGTAAGGCAGTCAATCGATAAACTGTAGGGTGAGGCAGTCAATCGATAAACTGGAAAAAACAATGTTTTTTGATAACCAATTCAGGGTTTTCAGTTTTGTGTGAGGCTCTGGCTAATGGCGATGAAGCTATGGTGATAGATATTATTTCTACCGATATAATTTACAAATTTGGGCGAGTACACATAATAGAGATGTGACTAAACGTAAAAGCTCTGGCGAATTTGGGTGGGGTTGAATGAAGAAGTCAGGCGAAATTCGCTGTTCGCTGGCCTAAACTGAAAACCCTGCAATTCAACCAAATGTTGTTCAAGGAAAAAAACGGATAACATTTGGAAAAATTGTTTGAAACTCAGTAATATATATTGAAATGAAATGACGGTAATTGCACATTGTATTTGTGAAAAATCATGAAGCATATTGAAGCTAAGCGGATAAGAGGATTGCATGCTTGATTATTTCAACAGAAGAGGAAGTTATGTCTAGACGCAAAGACAGACACACTCACTCACTCTGTAGATACAAATTAAAACAGACTTTATGTTGGTCAACATATTAAGTAATTCATACCGTATATAAATCAGTTTGTGTTTCAGACGGTTTTTTGTTTTTACCCTGAACCGTCCCACCCTAAAGGCAGCATGACTAAAAAAGCCCTGTTGATGAACTAATTGACACTTGAACCTTTTAGGGCAAATGCATTCCAAATATGTTTGAATAAAAAAGTAATAAATTGTTACTTATTGAATTTTTTTTATAGAGTTTGATAAAACTTCCTGCGAAGATCTCGCAATCTGATCTTGTTTTTGACTTCTTTGAACCTACAAATGAAGACATTGCTTCAATGGAGCCGGACGCTGAACAGTATGTATAATTACAGGATTATCATGCATAGTTCCTCGTGTGTATAGAAATATACAGTCTGGGAAAATATTGGCAAAGAATTAATTAGGTTGACAGCTTTTTACCTCACTGATTGAACTAGTTACCTGATTTAAACCCATTAAGCTGCAGAGCTTCCCCACTGACGAGTAAAATCGTCTGGCGTTAGACAAGTAAAAAAAATAAGTACTGGGCGCACTGGGGCGCATTGCAGCTCAATGGGTTAACTAGAGACATTGTCAATTTTTTTGGTTAACCATTAAGCTGCAGAGCTTCCCCACTGACGAGTAAAATCGTCTGGGATTAGACAAGTAAAAAAAAAGTAGGGCACACTGGGGTGCATTGCGGCTCACTGGGTTAAACTAGTTGATTAAACTAGTTAATGAATCTTAAATCAGCTAAGGCATCTATGTATTATTCCCTGATTGTCACCCAATTTAGTCGCATATTTATAGTACATGTAAACTAATTATAACTCTTATACCCTATTAATGATCAAAAAAGCGATGAAAAAAATTTTTTAATTTGAAGATGCGAATTGAGTGGCAAGTCGGGCATACATGTAAACCTGCATGCTATCCTTAAATATTTCATGTCTGTCAATGTTTATAGGAAGGATAAAAAGAGGACGAAGGAGGAAAAAGGTAGTGTAATTGCAACTCTTGAATAGCCTGTGCCTGCAGTGTACCAGAGACAGTATAACAGACAGCTGCAGTGTGAAATGATACATATACAACCAGTTAAAAAATATAAGCAGAATTTCAACGTTTCAAGCAATCTCCCTTTGTCAGCTAACTTCCCGATGAAGGGTCTATCTGTAATTTATCACTCAAAATGTCGAAGTTCTGTTTATATTTTATTTTCAAGTACGTTGTATATTTACAGTATCCTAATATTGCAGCTGTCAGTGCATAATTTATGCAACTACATACTGTATACTGTACTATGTATGTTTGATATAATATAGTGTGTGTGCTCAATGTATAATTCAGACATCCAAAAACATAATCTGCTAATCAATATTAGGCAAACAAATAAGTTCAGCCCTCAATTGAGGTCATCGGCCTTTACATTTTGTTGATTTTAGCTAATTTTAATAAATATTATATGACTATAGTGAATATAGTCCGGTTGACGGCTGACATAATTTACTTCATTTCGAAGGCAAAGTGATCTCAGAACCAATGCAACTGGAACAGTACATTGTGATCGCGGATTATCAAAAACAAAACAGAAGTGAAGTCAGTGTTTTAGCTGGAGATATTGTTGAAGTGATTGAAAAAAGTGAAAATGGTAAAAATAGTTTCTTTTTGTTTTTTATGTTACACCCTTAATAACTGTAGAATCGTGTAGATTATTAATAGTAAACTGTTTCTAATTGTCTGTATTATTCCATGGTGATAACATGCATCTATAGTTATGTTTCAAGAGAAACAACACCTGGTTCAATATTGCTGGGCTGAGAAACTTTGACATTTGCCAGGAATTTAGTAGCAGATTAATAATTATTAAATACTCATTCCTTACAAAAACTGCCACTGACCAACACCCTGACACTGGGGTGTGGGGTGTCAGAGAAAGTGGAAGGACAGAGTGAAATAATAAAGTAGAGCTCATCAGCTCGTGGGTAGACATAACTGTGTAGTCGATTCAGTGCTAACACTCTCCAATGGGACTTGACAAGTAAAATCTTGAGGCTTGACAAGTAAAATCGCCTGGCGCTCGACAGATTAGAATAATATAGTAGATCAGTGCATGTGTAACTCAAGTGTCAATATTTCGTCTTGAAAAGGTTGGTGGTTTGTAAATATGGACGAAGAACAAGGTTGGGTACCAGCCTCATATCTTGAACCAGAGGACGGCAGTGTCGAGAGTGCTGTGGCTACTACATATAAACCTGGAGGTATGGTTAAAATATAGAACGTTTTGTGCCAGTGTACTGTAGGTACCGTAGCGAAGAATATAAAATGTTTAAAATTAACCTTTTTTCAGTAGTCGTCTGTAAGCCGTCATTTCTGATAAACACCAATCAAACGTGCTCGAAACACTATAGCTCAGTCTCCAGTGACTCAAAATAAATGAAACTCGAGGTTTAAAATAGAGGATTTACCGTTATGTAAGTACATAAATTCCGAATCTGTCATGAAATTGAAGACAAAGGCTCCGTTCACACTGCGCTCAACTGAATTTGCATTCATTTCTCAATGTTTAGTGCTTTTTCTTTATAAAATAATGTTCAAATACAGTATAGAGATTTTAGAGGGCCGGTCAATGAGAAAATGCCTGAAATTCCGTTCCCAACCGATAGGTCCGCGCTCCACATGGGTGTACGGGAGGGAAAAAAATAATAGGGGCAGGGCAGCCAAAAATAGCCCGACTTTCATAGAAATTGCCCGTCTAATACAGAATTAAGGTTACAGGACATCCTTTTTGGCGTTTTGTGGAAAATCGCTACTGCGCGCTCAAAATCAGTCCGATTTTCATCAAATTCAGTTTTCACCAAATGTTAGCCACTGCATGCAAAATATGGTAAAGTTGTAAAATTGACAAACAATAAACTAATGTAAGAATTATTCAGGAAAATCTTAAGTCGCGGTACCTTTGCGCTTTTGAGTTATGTTCCTGCTGGTTTTAAGATATATTTATGAAAATATCATAAATATCATTGTTCTAAAAAATTGTGTTTGGAAATTTTTGTTTATTTCGTCATTCCGCTGATATTGCGATTTCTTTGACGACTGCAATATATTTCTGAATCGTTTGTGTGAATTGCTCCTTATTATTAAATTATCCAAAATTAGCACAAATTTAAAATCGTTAAAACCCGCAGGAGCACAACTCGTTTAAAAATCAGTAATTGCCATAAAATTCTTCAGGAGAAAATTGAATTTGAATATTACATTTTCAATGTTTTTCTTATTGCAACTGCAAGCGAAATGTATTTTATTAAATATACTCCGCGAGTTTTCAACATTTTCCGTCCAAACTTGGTCAGATAGTAGAACCAGTCTAATGCTTTCATGGAAACTAATAAAAAAATTTTAGGCAAAATTAACACCCAAAGGTGTTCTGTAACCTTAAGAAATTTTTGCAAAGTATTTGTGAGAGGTGTAATATGCAAAAAATATTTTCATCGCAAATACGCTACATAGAAAAAGTTTGTCTCTTAATCTGTAGTTGAATACCATGTGTACAGTATATACTGTAGCACCATGTTACAAACACTTGACTGAAATATCCGCTTCAATCTTTAGAGGAGCGCTACATTGCGTCAACGGCTTACACAGCAAATGAACCAGATGAGATTGGTTTTCAAAAAGGTGTTGTTGTTGATATACTTCAGAAAAATATCGATGGATGGTGGCTTATAAGGTACAGTAAATTAGTAACGATTAACGAACTTTATCAATACTCTTCACATTCCATATTGCTATTCTGAAATAACACCAAACATTCACCCTAACCCCCGCGAGGAACACCCATGAATTAGTCAAATCGTACGATTAGGGTTGGCTTGTGTGAAATTGACCCACTTGGTGTGCGTGATTGTGTATTGCTAAGTGATCATTACTAGTTAGTGTGGGTTCATTACGGTTTTCATAATGTATAAAAGCAGACGCAGACCATTGTGAAATATCGGGGGTGCGACTCGGTTGACAGTATATCCCTATACCGGAACTACAAATGTATTTAATATATCGGGCTTCATAGTGTTTATTGTTAAAGCTAAGTTGGAGGATGTTCCCCACCCCCCCCCCCCTCCCCGTCGTCCTTGTGTCCACCACTCAGTGCCGCCACTATGCCTTAAAGGAAACATAAACGTGAACGAGTGTTTCTAACTCGTGTTTTTAGATTCAACGGAAAAGATGGTTGGGCGCCCTCTATCTACCTTAAGAAACTTGACCCGAACCAAGCCCTGCCAACACCTCATGGCTACGAAAACGTTACGTTATCGAACGAACACGCACTTCCGAATAAACCACGACGAAATCCGAAGAGAGACGAAGGAGGTAAGTGAGGACATTTGGCTTGAATATAAAACTGGAGTGTCTTTATTTATTACCATTTTCTGTACATTTTTAGGCAATCAATCAAGCAAGCCACCTCCTAGGAAAAGTTCTGTGAGTGCTATATTAACTTCAGTAATGTATTTCATGGAAAATAACTTTTCATCCATGATTAGAATATTCCACTAATGGAAATAAACATGTGTAAACATTCAGCTACCATTCAAAGGCTTCCTGAAGTTGCTGTCCACCATTGATTAATGGGGAGTTTGGCAAATTACAACGGCAACGTTGTCATCAACAATAGCAATGATCCTCAAAGGCGAATGTAAATTACATGGTCTTAAGCGTTGTGCAATGCCGTAGCTGTTGAAACTAGCACGTGATTTTTATCATTTTCACGGTGCATGACTACGGCAACAGTTAATTCGTTTGACGTTATTTGGGGTGTTTTATTTCAATTCGCGGACTATTTTTACTTAAGGGCTGTTTGAGAGAAACAGGAATACTTTAAAGAGGCAAACTAAGTGTAGTAACGTATACTTTGGCTCAAATACAACAATATATGAAACTATATTTTTGTCGTTCCCGTTGTCGTTGCCGTTCTAGGTTGCCAAACTCACTAATACCGACCTACAGGCGTTACACAGTTTCAAAATTTTAAATCTGAAATTTTTTCAAGGTGCGTAAATCTCACAAGGTGAAGAACCGCATACGACCACCGCCATCACGTGAGGAACAAGGTTCTGTATCATCGTTGAATGAAGCCGAATATGTAACATTGTCTGACTATCATGCCCAGGGTTTTAACGGAGGACTGAGCGTTCAGAAAGGAGTTTCTGTAAACATCATAGAGAAATCTCCAAACGGTTGGTGGTTCTGTAAAATTGGCGAGAAAGAGGGCTGGGTTCCATCATCTTATATTGAACGACGGGAAAAGAGAGTGGATCACTTTGAGGTAACAAAACCCGGGGTTTTCAGACCCGTGGGGGTACCCAAACCCGTGGGGGTACCCAAACCTGCAATAGCAAGAACTCCAATACCAAAACCAGCGGTTCCTAAAGCTTGGTCACCTAAACCTGCGGTAGCAAAACCCGGTGTGAAAAACCACGGGGTGCCAAAACCAGGGGGAGCAGAGGTTAGAAAACCCAGGGGCGAAAAACCTGCCCCAGTAAAGCGGGATGCGACAGGTGCTGATTATATGGCGATCAGTGATTATTTCGACAATGATCATTTGAATATATCATTAAAAGAAGGCGCGCTAGTCAAAGTACTGGAGAAGAGTGACAGTGGGTGGTGGTACGTGCAGTCATGTGGTGCAGAGGGGTGGGCACCATCGACGTATCTTACAGAAAAACCCAAGGAAAGACCCACACCTTCACCAAAGGTTAATGTACCTCACATCACCCCACGCCCACAAACCGGCCGTCCCCCACCTGCAAGACCATCTCCACCTGTTCGACCTACGAACATTCCAAGTGGCCAACGAAAGGGTGTGCCCGCGCCCCCTATACCAAGTCGAGGACAAAAACCCACCCTTCCTAGGAACAGAAACTCCGGTAGTATTGAAAATCTTCTTCGAGTAAAACCTGCTGTAGCGTTAAAACAAACACGAAGTACGGAGAACTTATCATCACGGCCTAGTAGCGCGCAGTATTATTACGTCATTGCCGATTACTCTGACGATGTGCATGATACACTAGATATTAAGAGAGGCGAAAGAGTCGAGGTCATGAAGCGAGATGAAGGGGGCTGGTGGCTAGCGAAAATAGGGAACAGAACAGGCTGGGTGCCATCAAATTATCTAGAACAATAATTTATATTTGACTTTTATTTTTGTAATTAATATAAGTATTCATATGCACAGCGTGTTAGCCAGGCGGCCGTCCGACCGTCCTACGGACGGCCATTTCTGAATTCGGACGGCTAAATTTTAATGGACGGCCATGGACGGCCTAAGGGAATATTTTCTTTAATTTAAATAGCAATTTACAAGCTTTGTAATATTTCTTGAATACTTCGAATTGTTGCCATCTGCTGTTTACTTTACTTATGGTATATGTTTTCATACTTTTTCCCGTCGAAAACACGTTGAACATGGCTGAATTTAAGTATCGACAAATGCGCCCCGTTTTTGTAACCATGGTCATGATTCTCGCATGAAGTATTAAGGAGAATAATTTGAAACCGCTGTTTTAAAAAACAGCAATCGCTTTATCGCTCGAGCGCTACGTGCTTTGGAGTTACAGTTACCGGGTAAAGATGGCTATAAAATGAGGCAAACGCATAAAAAAGGGAAAAATATCCGCGATTGATAAAAAAATAACTAAACACTACACTACGGTTCATACCATACGTGTGCTTTTACTAATTTAATGACGGGAATGTGCATCTAAAAGTAAAAAGGTTCAACGAACAGAACACCACAATTCCACAACAAAAAAATGCGGCCACGCCCAAAAACATGTGACCCCACCCACAAAAAATTGTGGCCACGCCCACAAAATTATTTTGGACGGCCACTTTTGAAATTCTGGCTAACACCCTGCATATGCACCAATTAATCATTCCATGCATGCACCAATTAAGTGTTTTAAAAAGGAGTGTCCAGGGTTTCATTGTACGAAGATACGGCTATCCACCGTATACAGTATAGTTATATAAAAATAAGGAAAAAAAACACTCCGAAAAATGCCACATTACGTCATTATCGCGTTTAGACATTTTTAAGTCGATAGAGTTGTGTAACTTCATCAGCCGTCAAAGCTTTCTTGAACAATTTCACTTCATCAATGTAGCCATAAAAGAACTCTCTGGACATCCCGTGACCTGCTTGACCAATGATGACGTCATTAGTCTTGTTGACGAGGTTGCCTTGACAACACTTTGAGTTTCCTTTCTGTTGCTGATTATCGAGATAAAAGTTGAGAGTAGCACCATCGTACGTCATCGCCACATGGTGCCAGTGATTGTAGCTGGCTGTGGTGGCATAATTCCAAGTTGCAGCTGAGTTTGATGTGACAACACCTGCACCAATTTTCTGGCCAGAATTCTCTCGCCCCATTCGTATCTCCCAACTTCCGTAGCTATAGTAACCATTGTTTATGATGCCTTGATAGTTGCCTTGCTGGCCAGTGCGTTTGAACCAGAGACTGACAGAGAATTGTGAGCCCCACGTATAGCCATTGAGACTAGCTATACGGAGTTTGCTTGCTCCATTGAATAAAGCTGCTCCATTGCTTATACCAGAAGATGCTGCCAACCCAACAGACCCAACTTGCACTGCATTATGGCCGTTGCATACATCACGGAATGAACGGTCAAATTTGTAGTACGCGATCACGTCTTTGCTGCACGGATCTGTTCGTGTAGGAAGTAATCAGTAAATATTTTCTTAAATTTCACCGTGAATCTCACGATTTGTAAAAAAGATTCTGTGATTTTTTAATATCTTGCGACTTTTGTTCAATATGATCAAAATTCGTGCAATTTTGTGCTTTATGATCGCAGTTATGATCGAAATTAATCATAACAAATTGACAAACACATCAATTTATATCGCTATGCATTTACTTTTGAAACGGGTAGAAAAATGACCTAGTGCGTGCGTCATGCGAAATGTCTATCACGAGGAAGATACAAGATTCGCATCCGATCTTTATCTGATATCAGGGCCGTAGCAACCGGGGGGGCTGGGGGGGCTGCAGCCCCCCCCCCCCAATAATTTGCTAATAATCATTCTTTTTTCAAAATCATGCAAACTTTATCATTTAATCTGTGACAAACTGCAAAGAATGAAGATATTACTCATACTCCAGATCGTTCCTCGCGTAGAAATTTTAGCTGAATTTCTGTCGCGCATTTTCAAGAAAACCCACAAAATCTGCACATTTTTGATGAACTAATGATTTATTTTGTCTTTTGCGTGTTGGGTCTTGCGAAAGAAAACTCTGAAAATGCCATTTCAGACCATCTAGAGACTCCAGATTTTCGAAATTTTCTCAAATGTTCTGCCTTCATTTCCGCGCAACTGCCATTTACGACGAAAATTCCCGCCGCGCATTTATAATACTACAGTCTGGCCTATACTTTCCTGTAAATTTCGACATACTAAAACGCTGTTTTCTGACTATCAGAATTCTGTTAAATCTTCCCCCAAAGTCCAGGAAATGGCATTTTAGAGACTCTAAATTTAAAAATTTCCTCGGGCCTTCGGCCCTCGCTTTCAGCCCCCCCAATCGAAAAGAGCTTCCTACGGCCCTGGATATACAAACTCTCGCCGTTGGGCGTCGGTCGATGTATATCAGATAAAGATCGGCTGCTCGTGTTTTAACTAGTACTTAAAGTTTAACTAGTACACGACTACAACAGATACTGCCTTATTAGTATTCTTTATATAAAGAATACTAATTAGGAGTGTTTTATCAGGTTTAAAGCCACTGCACGTGGCATATTATGGTTGACATGATTCGCCAATAAGCTTATGAATTATATTGAAAAGACGTATGAAGGTCGTTTATTAATAACTTCTCAGGGTGAGTGATTGTAATATGACTCTCATGTACACACTAAACTGCACACTTGCTATGCATAAGAAATAAATAAGAAGAAACAAATATACCTTGGTTGCAACATCCGCTTTGTTTCAGTTTATCAGCTTCAGCCTGTAATGAATTGATTCTCTTCTGAAGCTGGTCCAACGCAGAGCATTGAGCTATTACTCGTGTTGTGAGTAACTGCAAAAGAACGACTGCCAAAAAAATCATCGCAAGTTTTGCCATTGTGAACTTGAATGTGACACTGAATGCAAAATGTCAGTATAGAGCGACTTGTTAACTCTTCTTTTTCGTGCGACAGATTACGAGGTTGTGTATTCGTTCAGTCGTTACGTTGCTATTTTATTCGTAAGAAAACAGGATGTTATAAGAAATTAAACAGCGGGAGAGGTTTGACGATTGTTCTGAAACCAGAACAATACTTTACTCATAATCCACTTCGTCATTCATTTCGGGGCCGACTATAAATTATTGAGTATTGACATAAATTGTCAAATTAATTGACGATCCAGGTCGAAGGTCGCACAGTCTATATAGACCCATTGCACATGACGTCACAGCGCCGTATGACGATGCATCTGGAGGACAAATTAGCAATCTATGCATAAATAACTTTTGTAAATAAAGCAAATTTTGTAAAACTTCATAATAATTTTGTATTAAAATTGTTAATTTTTGCGCTGTATGTGGTTGTTGTACCGGAATAGATATTGTTAGGGAGCATCTGGAGGACACTCTAAGGATTTGTGACGTCAGTGCAATGGGTCTATAGCATAGATATAATATAGAGTCACTAATGAATTCAATAGGATGGCAATACTCAGGCTAAATTAAACCCAGAAATTAAGCAAATGTTTCTTAATATATAGCGCAGGCTACACCTCCGCCAGCGAATTAAATTATGCATCGTGCATAAATAATACAATGACTATGCATTCAGGTTTTGAAAAAAAACGAGTTCTGAAAAATGTTTGGTACAGAGATACTACAAGTTGTTTTATTTGAGACTTGGTAGTCGCACTGATAATTCACGTTTTTGTGAATTCTACATTAGAAATCTTGCGAAATAAGTAACAACATGTGTTCAAAACCAGAAGTGTGGTAAAATCGGGCATTTGGGGGGCTTCGCCATAGGTCTATTAAATGTCCTGTGTCCTGTTTTCCGCGCTTGACGTCCCGCATAAGAAAGGTTTATTGTGCATGTTAATCGTGGATTGTTTGCAGGCTTTGTGATTTTCTCGTAATTTTATCAGGTAGTTTAAATTTGACGTGACGCACCTCTGGCTTTGTACGCATCTGATTGGTTAATCGGATATATCAAACGCATCTGATTGGCTAATGATCAGCTTAAGTTGGAGTTATACGAGCAACAAAATTGCTGCAACTTGCAACAAAATCTGATTTCAACGCATGTTAATTGAAAATGTTTACACATAAATTACAAGGCAACATGTGTCGACATTTCTACTTAACATGCGTTGAAGTCAGATTTTGTTGCAAGTTGCAGCAATTTTGTTGCTCGTGGAAGTCCAGCTTAGTGAATGGTAAAAAAGTCAAATCTGAACAAAAAAAAGTCAAATCAAAACCACAGTCTGAACCGACTTCTCTAATTAAAGTATTAAACACTGGAAACCTACGACCAATGCTATGGCTTTACTAAAACATGAGGACATTCACAACACTAGCATAGTGGCATTGGGCAAGTGACGTATTTGTTGACTTTTTCGGTGGCAAATTAAAAACAGTTAATCAAAAAACAAACCTGGCTTCAAAGCAAGACTGTGGCACTGACTGGCTGTTGCTTTTGCAAGGCCGGCGAGAGGGGGAGGGGGGGGGGGCAGCGGGGGAAAAATACCCGGGGCCCGGAGTGCTCAGAGGGGTCCGGAAATCGTTGTGATCGATCGTAAAACGTACCAAATGTGAAATAAACGATTTTTCGATCGTTTTCTCAGCAAAAACAGTTAGCTAAACATCGTTCACATTGCGTTTTTATCAGTTATGCGGCGATTTCTTGCAAGTAATTCGCTGGTAATTCTCTCGTTGATTGCGATTAAAAATAGACTTTGGCGTGGCCACGCGCCAACGGGAGAGTCGAGAGGGACAGGGGGACCGTGTTCACCAATTCGTTATTTTGTCCCGGGGCCCGTGGTTGGCTCTCGCCAACCTCGTACCCAGGCTCTCGCCGGCCTTGTGCTTTTGTTTGAGCATTTTGAAGAATTATAATAGTCCACAGCTGTGTAGTGGCCGGTTGAATAACAGATTTTTGCCACCCAAAATGGCGGGTTAATTTTGACGAGACGTCATACCGCAAGACCTCTGTGTAAGAGACAACAAGCAAAGTAGCATTCATTTGTCACGCAACTTATTTTAATTTGGAATATTCAGGAAAGTACATGCTAGGAAGACAATAGCAATGAGAAAACTAACAGAGTGAAGAGAACTTGAAGAGGAGATTGCTGTTGTTTCATCGAAAGTCAAAGTTTGATAAAGCTTTCTGACTTGATCAGCGGTTAAAGCTTTCTTTAACAGAAATACTTCATCTATAATGTGGACAGAAGACGGCCGTCCTCCATCACCAATCACAACGTCATTTTGTCTAGTCATGATGTTACCACGGCAACACTCCATGTCGTTTTTCACAAGACGATTGTTGAGATAGAACTTAACGGTCTCGCCATCGTACGTCATCACAATATGGTGCCAGCGGTTGTAATGTACCATAGCAACATCCCAGGTCTTTGACGAGTTGTTTGTCGTCACAATGCTAGCACGGATAAATGGAATCAAATGCATGACCACCGTCGTATTTCTGAAAATCAGTCTGGGAATTGGTTTGTTTATAATTCTTATTTCCCAGCTTGCATCATTTTTACCGTTGTTTATCAATCCACGAGATTCAGCGTATTTGAACCAGAGACTGACGGAAAACTGTGACCTTTTAAAAATTAAAAGAAAAAGCTAATAAGCTATACAGCGTGCACGTTTATCATATACAATTTCGGCTGACAAAACGTTGCTACAAAGCTAACAAATTCACAACTTTGATTAACACTTTTCCAATAAAATTCACTGGAAAGACATAAAATTAATGCGGTACAGACCGTTCTGCGCATGCGTACATTTGGAGTATAAAAAATGACGTAAAGCTTCATAAAGCCCCCCGCACAGGAAAGATGAAAGAAAATCGTTACGTAATACACGTACATACAAAAATATCAAGTAGGAAGTATGTTAGGTCCGGAATCCCCCCGCATCTCCAGGATTTTTTTTGTTGGACAATTTATGGAAATTAGCCCCCCCCCCAAAAAAAAACAAACAACTTGCATAACCAAAATTTTTTTGCATTTTCTGCTTCATAAAATCATAGTTAATAGAAGAGATGGTTTGGAAACTTTTTAGAATAACAATATAATCATTATCTATGTTGGTCAACGTTTGTGCAAAAAAATGGTCCTTCATTGTCACGTGTATATAATATATTTTCGCTAAATCCACCAATAATAATTTTTAAACGACATTGGCAATAAAAAAAAGTAGTTTAGTTCATTTGAAAGAACTCTTCAAATTATATATTAAACTCTATTACATTATATCTTGCTTAGTTTTTAAACGATTGAAGTGGGCTATTCGCCATCTTGTACTGTAATAATTGAGGATATGCATGTTACATCAAGAAAGGGGTCACGTTTAATCTTGAGAGTAAGCAATCAATATGGGTCCAAAACGTCGTTTCTGGTTGCTGTCTGAAATCTAGAAATGATTCAAAACATTTCAAAAAATTTGGAATGTTACCCGGTCATTTTAGAGTAGTTTTTTTATGGTTAACCCAACTCCTGACGTCATCAAAGCCATAGTTAATGAGGTCAAGAATTTGTCCAAGATGGCGGACACCTCATTAATTTCGGTCTAAATATTTCGAGAATTAAGCAAGATATGACAAATCGGTAATGGAGTTTAATATATAATTTTAAGAGTTCTTTTGAATGAGACAAACTTATTTTTTACTGCCAATGTCCTTTAAGTACGTTGCCCAACTGTTCAAGTCACGGGTAGCTAAGAAACTTTCCTAAAACATTGTTATTGGTTGCCGGCCGTTGGTTGGGCAAAAACACAATACGCACGTGACAATAGTCCCGTTTACACTTGTGTAAAATGTAAAATGGGCCTAATATAATGGACCACGTTTCAGAATAAACCTAAAAAACATAGATAACTATAGAGGGCACTCAGAGACTGCATACCTCCGCCCGCATTGAATTTCAGTCGTGTGAAATGCAACGAAGACAATAGATAATGAAGGCTGAAGCTTAATGAGGTTTATCATCTCATTATTGTCTTAGTACTGCATGCATACATTATACACGTCCTAAATACGTATTCAGTGAGTTTTTTTTTAATTGACCGGGAAAAGCAAGACAAAATTTTGTTCATTTCTCGTTCAATTTTTAACCAAATTCAACCAAATTTTAATCAGTTCTTCCTTAGCCGATGGGAAATGCATTCAAAAAATTTCGTATGAATATGTTTGGTATTTCTTGAGTTATCGTGCTCACAGACAAACACACACACATACACACACACACATACAAACCCAGATGATTACATAACCTCCTGGCGGAGGTAATAAGTAAATGGTTGTTGCACAAACATCACTATAGACAATAATTTGGCTAACGTTGTTTACACTGATCTTTGCTACCCAATTCAGAACATTAGATAATTCATGCACATGCCTATAGTTACTATTATGGAACATTACTATTATGGAACATATATGGCAAATTCAGGATCCGAGCAACATTAAACACTGACTTTTTCAAGGTCTGGTCAGACAGAAGCGTATAGAATAGTACAAAAGTAACTAAGCATTAGAGTTATGTCTAAAGCCCTGGGCAAACTAGGAAACATTGTTGTGGAAACATTTGTGATTCTCGATGTTTTCTCAAATGTTTCCCTGTTTGCCCACCCGTGGAAACATTGTTGCGGAAACAAAATTTGCTTCCCAAGAAGCATAAAGATGTTTCATAGCGAATTCACTAATGTTTCCTAGTGTTTACCCACTCTGGGAAACATGGCGAAACGCTGGTAGGAAACAATGTTTCCGCAACAATGTTTCCTAGTTTGCCCAGAGCTTACGAGTTACTCTCAAGAGTTGCTCTTTTAATTTTGAATACTATAGGAGTTATCTAAAATTGTACGTGTAAATTGTGTATAAACAAACGTTAGCCAAATTAAATTTTAGTTCTATGAGCTAGGTAACGCCGATTGTTCTTACCCCCACGTATAACCATTCAGGCCTGGAACACGTAGTTTAGCAGAATATACGAGTAGCTGTACTGCAAATCCACCGCCAGATATTCCTTTAGATGACTCCAAGTCGTTTTCAATCCCATCATTGATAGCGTTGTATCCGTTGCACACATCACGATACGAATAATCAAACTTGTAATAAGCAATGATGTTTTTGCTGCAGCCCTCTCCTCCTGCATACAAGTTGAATATGATAAAATAGTCAGGGGCGAAACTAGCTCCTTTTAATTAATTAGGGGGGGGGTCTGCTAGAATTGCCCTGCAAAAGCCGATGATGCCCTGCAGCATTTTTTTTTGGCCACTATTTTCCCCAAAAATGTTGTTGGCGGAAGTTTAAAAAAATTTTTCCGGACATTCAAAAAAAGGGTCGAAAAAATTTTCCCAGACATAAACCAGTTAAATTAAGTGTCAACAAATTTTTTCCGTTAAAATGCCTGTTAAAACATGCGTGAAACCCTTATTTTTGGACCAATATCTGTACAATTTAGGTCTATAAGCTATTCAATTCCCTCTGGAAGCCTTGTAAGTTACTTAATAACTCTACATTCTATCATTTAAAATCTTTGATTGCCCTGCCAATCCAGATGATTCGCCCTGCCAATCCAGATGATTCGTACTTT